ATGATTTATGACGAAAGTATCTAATGAAATGGGTCAGAAATGACCGAGATATCGAGCTCGCTGTTGGCAACAATGAACGCGAAGGTTTGACAGCCGGCGGCGGACATATGCGGTCAAGTGCCGCAGTGGTGGAAAGCAATCAGCAAGTGTGGGAACGTGCCGACGACCTCCGATCGCAACGACGAGCACTTACCGTTTTCGGGGACTTAGACGATTTCCTCGTTCAGACGTTATTCGGGCAATTACTGCCAGTGTGTGGCTATCGGCATTTCGAAGCTAATTAGCTATTTCTACACGGGGTACGGACACTAGCTAATTAGCTAAGTAAGACGTGATGACGAGGTGAACTTCAGTACAATTGCGGTACAGAAGAACATATTCAGAACATATTTAGTTCTATTTCAGACCAATTTGGGGTCTAAATGAAGTAGCTGACATATGTACTACAATTGTACTACATATGTTGTACATATGTGCTGCATATGAACTGTATATGGACTGAATATGTAGTGCATATGTACTGCAAGTGTCCTACATATGTGCCGGCACTATCAAGGCCTGCACTACCACTTGGTCTCATCTGTAGATCATCTGGCAAAGGGATTCTTTGCTGCTGGAAAAGATGTGGAAGGTATACAGAACATGACAGATGCAACAGACAAAGACTTGCAAGTGGAATTGTGAGGACGGGTGATGGACGGTACAGATTAATAGGCGGAAGGACTGATGTGTGACTTAGGGATTGACACAGTCCTGATATCCCATGTTCAAAACAAGCTTGTTGTGCACCCAATATGTCATTTCGCTGTCTCATTTTGCTGTAAATTAGTGATGGTACACATTGGGTGTAAGGAGAACCCCCTAGAGTACCTTGTACGCTTTTTCTTTTCTACTTATTTCACAATCCTTTGCCTTATCTTTTACTTACACCTTTATGTTTCACTTATACTTCGACGTGCATCGCATTTCTGCCCTTTATTTGACAAGCTTAGTGTGGCATCTGCTGGGCTCCCGGCGCTAAATCGACCATCCAGTAAGCGCCGGAAGCGCCCATAGCACATGCTTCTCCAGCCACTTCTGTTTTAGGCATGTACACCCCCCATATGATTTATTTGTGTACTGTACAGTTCTTGCTTTGCTTTCCAACTCCAACGACTAGTGTCGTACCGAGAGCGAGAAGGCTGCCGGACAATAAGTCCAACAGAGAGCAAGAGTGACGGAGGGGACGGATCACACAAAGGCAAGGCGGAGGGACTTAGAGAGATTCAGACGAGAGGTAGAAAGACTTTTGTAGATTGAACTAATAGTCAGACTGAGGTTTACAAGGCGGACTAGCTAGCTTTTATACGACGGAGGCCAGGGACAAAACAGATCGTAAGATCCAGGAGGCTATGAGAGAAGGGACGATGAAACAGTAAGTAACATATGGCGAAGGTCTGGTGGGCGGATAGCCGGACGGATATATTGTGTGTATAGGTAAGAAGTGGAGTAGAGCATATGGATGAACTAAGGGAAGCCAAGCAGATATGTTTCAGTAACTAATATGGATGGATGATGCGGAAGATATCCGGAAGGTGACAGATGCAACTGACAAAGACTTGAGCGAAGGTTAACGAGGACAGATGACGGAAGGTACAGGCGGATGAGACGGACACGTAGCTTAGGGGTCGGCACAGTCCTGACATAAAGGCACCTCATTGTTGTAAGGTACGGATGCCAGTGTCGGGATGCCAGCAGGCACTTCTCGCGGGATGTGACCTGGCACTTACACGACTTCTCAAGCATTCCAGCCATCACATAGATACATGCACTGCGGGCACCCAACTATCTTTCCGCCCGAAAAACTGCGTGAGAAAAAGGGTTTGTAGTTTCCGGCAGGTTTTCCGGCCGGGAATACTTAGAGTTTTCTGGCCAGCAAAATGGCAGAAATAATATGCATTTTTCAATAGTCTTGCTGAGAGAAAGATGCTGAGTTTTCCCTTGCATTCTGGAACTGTCGAAACCACCGGAAAATGATTTGTTTTTCCCGTGACAAAAACGTAACATTTTTTGGGTGGTTTTTCTGATAGAAAAATGCCAAGTCTTTCGAAAGGTTTTCTGCCGGAAATCCTCAAAGTTTTCTGACATTAAATCAAGCATTACCTACCAATTTCCCACCAGAATAACGGGGAAATGCGGAAACCCCTCCGAAAAACTATGAGGATTTCCTACTGAAATACCGTTCGAAAAACTTGACATTTTTCCGTTAGGAAAACCCTACAACATCTTCCACTCAGCAAAACTGCGGGAAAACTCATACTATTTCTACAATTTTACGAGCAGAAAAAATCTACGCATTCCTGACAGGAAAACCCGTCAGAAACTACAAACCCTCTTTCCCACGGGGGTTTTCGGGCAGAAAAATAGTTGGGTGCCCGCAGTGACATGTACTTGCGAAAGTCACCCATTTTGACCATAAATATAATTTATTAAGTATTCTATACTACATATTAACAAATAAAAGGGAGCCGGCACACTCCCCTGTGCCGGCTCGGGTGGTCATAGTGCCAGATAATATGAAAACAAAAATTGAGAAAAAAAACCTTGGGGGACACATTATGCGAGGGCGCACCCTGCTCGTGCGTGTGTGTGCCTCACGACACGGTGGTGATTGCGCGTGCGCGCGATGGGCGTGTGCGCGTGATGGCGGGTGTGCGCGTGGTGGCGGCGGGTGCGTGGTGGCGTGCGTGCCTACGTGCGCGAGATGGCCGGTGGGCGTACGCCGTGCGTGGTGTGGTGGTCGCGCTGTCGTTGTACGCGCGTGGGTCGTGGGGTACGTGCGTGCGTGGTGGCGGCGTACGTGTGTGCGCTTGGGGGCGTGGTGGCGCGTGGGTCGTGGGGTGCGTGCCCTTGGAGGCGTGGTGGCGCGCGTGGCGTTTGGCGGCGTGCATGGTGGCGCATGTGCCTGCGTGCGCGAGATGGCGGGCGGGGCGTACGCGCGTGGGGTCGTGGGGTGTGTGCGTGCGCGCGCGGCTCCCGCTCCCCCGTGCTCCTCGTTGTCCTCGTCGTCGCGTCCTCGTCCTCGTCGTCGTTTCGTCGTCGTCGTGGTCGCGTCGTCGTTGTACGCGTGGTGATGGTGGCGGTCGCGTCGTCGTGGCCTGAGCGAGCTGGCGGCTTGCGCGCGGGCGTGCGCCAGTGCCTGGGTGGGTGCGCGCGGGCGTGCGCTTCGGTGCGTGCGTGCGTGCGTGCGTGCGGTGGTGGGGTGCGTGCGGGCGTGTGCGCGCGGGTGGGGTGGGGTGCGTGCACGCGCGTGGTGTGGACGGCGTGCGGGCGTGGTGGCGGCGTGCGGGCGTGTGGGGTGCATGCGGGCGTGCGCGTGGTGGTGGCGTGCACACGCGTGGTGTCCTCGCGAGCTTGGGCGCGTGCGCGCGGGACGGCGGCGTGCGGTGTGTGCGTGGGCGTGGGGTGCACGTGGGCGTTGGGTACGCGTGGGCGTTGGGTACGCATGGGCGTTGGGTGCGCGTGCGGGCGTGGTGGGCGCGCGGGCGCGGGTGTGCGCTTGGGCGCGGGTGTGCGCTTGGGCGCGGGCGTGGGTGCGTGCGCGTGGGCGTGGTGCGTGCGCGCGTGGTGGCGTGCGTCGACGCCTGGGTGCGTGGGTGCGGGCGCGGGCGTGGTGGGTGCGCGCGTGTGGTGGGTGCGGGCGTGGTGGCGTGCGTCGGCACCTGCGTGCGGGCGTGGTGGGTACGGGCGGGCGTGGTTGCGTGCACGCGGGCGTTCGCGTGGGGTGCGGCGCGCGTGCGCTTGGGTGCGGCGCGCGTGCGCTTGGGTGGGCGCGTGCACGTGGGGTGCGGTGGGTGTGCGCATCGCGACGCGGTGGTGGTGATGGTGGTGATGGTGGTGGTGGTGAACAGTCAATAATATAAAAAAAAGAAAAAAAAACACGCACCTAGGGGGCACATTACGCGCGCCCCCGTCGGTGCCCTGCTCGTCGTGCTCGGTGGTCTCGCGTGCGCGTGTGGTGTGTCCGTGCGTGCGCGCGGGCGTTTACGTGGGGTGCGGCGCGCGTGGGTGGTCTCCCGCCCCTTCCCGCCTTTCCCCTCGTCCTCCCGCTCCTTTGTGCTCGTCGTCGTCGTCGCTCCGCGCTCGTCTTTGTCGCTGTTGTTGTTGTCGTCGTTGTTTCGACGTCGTCGTCGTCGTGGGCGTGGGCGTGGTCGTGTTCGGGGTTGTCGTCGTCGTCGTCGCTCGTGGTTGTGGTTGTTGTCGCGTGGTCGTGGTTGGTCGTTGTCGCCTCGTCGTGGTTGTTGTCGTGGTCGTTGTCGGTGGCTGGCACGTTGTCGTCGGTGCGGGGAAGGGGATGGGTGGGTGGATGGGCGCAGGGAAGAGAGGTAGCAGAAGGGCAGAGGGTTCGGCGCAATGCGGGGCGGAGTTTGAATTTGTCCGCAGCAGTACTACTTGTCGCACTGAGTAGGGGCCAATAGTACGGACTTATGGCCTAATGGTTCAGAGCGCTGTTTCTGATCATGTGACTTGTGCCCGCAGAGGTTGCTGGTTCGACTCAAGTTACTGCCAAAATGATAATATGCTAAATCATTCTTTTTGCTATAAATCAGTAACGGTACAGCTGAAACATGTGTTTCAAATGTACAAATGAACGGAAAATGGACCGAAATTGAATCATCTGAGCCACATATGTTCTACATATGTACTGAGGCAATATTCAGATCAAATTCAGTGCTGTCAGCACATATTCAGTCCAGATGGTTCAGATTCAGATCTGACTGTCAAATGTAGTTCATATGTACTTTGTCACTACATGATTCAGAGATCATATATGTATTCAGTACATATTGAGTGCATATGTGGTACAATTGCAGTGCACTTTCAGATATGTACTACATATGTAGTACATATGTTAACGTGGCTGAGTGTAATGTCCTCGATGTGCCCTTATGCGGCAAGGTCATCGACCGACTTCTCCCTTTCCGTCGCGGAAACGACTAATTTAACTAATCCCGAGCACGATGCAGCACAGTCTGGCGGCATGGAGCGTCTCCGCTCCTGAAATCACCATTGCTCTCAACGCTAAGGGGACGCAGCTGAGGACAAAACCTTCCAAGTCCACCATCCGACTCCGGAATCGACTAGCCAACAAGAGGTGAGTTGTTCGTCTCACTCAACTCAGTTCCCTTACAGTCTTCAAGCCCTGCAGAAGTGGACAACTTTTGGAAGCAAAAGTATGCACGTTCTAAGTCAAAACTCAAGTAAGAACGCTCCCTGTCTCAGGCATTTTGCCTAACTTGACCCTCACATCCAGCAGGTCAAAAGTGCCTCAACCTACGGACGTCTCCTCGCAAACAGACGTTCCTACGGCCTCGGATTTAACTTTGTCCCCATCGCCTACTGCTACAGCTACAGCGGACCTTCAATCACGCGCACCGACGCCCACACCGAAACCAACGTTGGAGCCGGGTCCTTCAGACGGAGTCGACCCTTCGACGAAACCTCTCGACGGGCCTTCGGAGGATCAGGCAACGCCCGTTCTTGAGCAGGACCTTCAATCACATGCACCGACGCCCACACTGAAACCATCATTGGAGCCGAGTCCTTCAGACGGAGTCGACCCTTCGACGAAACCTCTCGACGGGCCTTCGGAGGATCAGGCAACGCCCGTTCTTGAGCAGGACCTTCAATCACATGCACCGACGCCCACACTGAAACCATCATTGGAGCCGAGTCCTTCAGACGGAGTCGACCCTTCGACAAAACCTCTCGACGCGCCTTCGGAGGATCAGGCAACGCCCGTTCTTGAGCATGACAGTCCTCCTGCTTCTCAGCCAGGATCACCTTCGACTACGCCCCTTCCCAGCCTGAGAAATCCGTCCTCCACACGGTCCCCTTCCCCTACGTCTTCCGATACATCTTTAGGCGGCGACCGTAAGGCTTTACTCCAGTCACTGGCTGCACAGGCAGACATTCTTCTAGAAGCAGTAGAGAATTGGAGAATCTCCGAAGATGTCACCAATCTACTCGACTCACGGCTGAAGGCAGCGTCAAATTTGCTGAGGCAGCCGACTGGGGTAAAAAAAACGTCTTGAGTTTCTGAGTCATTTGGAACACATTGGACGAGTCGTGGATCAGAGCGCATTCCTCGAGCGCTCACCTTTACAAGCAGTTCACAGCCATGGTTATCTACATTCCCAAGAAATATTTGAAGCAGGTTGTTCTATCCATTGGCACGTTGGAAGACGCCAAATTTTAGTCGGCCTGACGGGACTTTTGTCTGGAGTGCGGGATTGGCTTTCGCAACCGTCGCCGACCTTGACGGCAATTCTTAACCTGGTATTTTCTTTTCTCTCGCTCTCAAGCCCGAACTACACATGGGTTAACGTATTCTTTTATTTTCGAGATCATCGATATGACGAACAACAATTACAGTCATGGGTTCATGAATGCCACCCAAGTGAAACGTTTGAAGTCAGGCAGTTGGCTGTCAGATGACATGATCGACTACGCTTTGGGTAAATCTCTCCGATCATTAGTGACAGTGCGTGAATTGAAAACTGGGCAGGCAATTTTCGTTGCGAGGATGCCGTTGTGCACAGAGCAAGCAAGGACATCCTCATCTGCTCGTCGGGGCTTATGCCTTGCATGGCTCGACTCGCAAGAACAACTGTGGATGTTGACAGCTTGGACGACAGCGACGACGACGACGAGAACTCTGGGAAGCTTGATCAGGAGACAGTCAAAAGTTTGTGCGCTTTGGAAACAGTAGGTCGAACGGTCTCTTATCCAAGCGTCGCTGAAGCTGACACCAGTTCATATGAAGGTCTTCAACCGCAACGTCCTCAGGCATATTCGAAAGATTATTTTGCCTGTATGCACAGGGGATCACTGGATCCTTGTACATTGCAATTTGGCAGACCTCGTTATCGACATTCTGGACAGCCGATCCAATAAGGTGCCCAAGAGGGCCCAAGGAAAGCATTATTCTATATACATTGAAGTATGTTTTATTCGTTCCCTTCAGCTTGGGGTTAGGATAAATCATGAGCACAGCGCTTTTGTCTTTGGCTCAAGATGCTGATTGATAAGTATGTTCTTCCGTTTGAGGATCCAGTGGAAAACTCCACACTGTGGACCCTGAAGACTCCCTTCGCTGTGGCCAAAGCTAATTGCAATGTTCACGAAGACGTACATATCTTTTCCTTCGCATTGATCAGAATAAAATTTGACTGAATTGTTCTTCCACAAGTTCCCTTACCAGAAGAATGACAACGACTGCGGTCTGTACGTGATCAAGTTCGCAGAGCACTTACTGAACGGAGAGACAATCAACCACGACGACGTTCCCAGGCTCAACTACATCTTCACCTGATTGGACCTCTCTGGACCACGTCCGACTCAGACTTTGGATGGACTTACCGAAGCTTGAAAAGGACTGGATATTCATTCCAGAAATTATTCGAGATTATTCTCTTTACGAAAAGTACCTGTAAATATTCTTTTCAACTATTTTCTATTTTTACTTTGTTTTGCCCATGGCCACGATTTCTGTACCTTTCATTTGAGCCAGAGTTCATGAGTTAGTTGGGAATATTCATTGTGCTAGCTGTACTTGATGAGGTTATTAGAGATTTGCTCGTGAACAACAAGTGCTATTCAGCCAATCAAATGCTGGTGTGATTCCACACAGTTATACCTTTCATTTGAGCCTGAGTTCATGAGTTAGTTGAGAATATTCATTGTGCTAGCTGTACTTCCGTTATACTATTGAGTTGACTCCCTGATGAGGTTATTGGAGATTTGCTCGTGAACAACAAGTGCTATTCAGCCAATCAAATGCTAGTGTGATTCCACAAAGTCGTACCTTTCATTTGAGCCTTAGTTCATGAGTTAGTTGGGATTATTCATTGTGCTAGCTGTACTTCCGTTATACTATTGAGTTGACTCCCTGATGAGGTTATTAGAGATTTGCTCGTGAACAACAAGTGCTATTCAGCCAATCAAATGCTGGTGTGATTCCACACAGCTATACCTTTCATTTGAGCCTGAGTTCATGAGTTAGTTGAGAATATTCATTGTGCTAGCTGTACTTCCGTTATACTATTGAGTTGACTCCCTGATGAGGTTATTGGAGATTTGCTCGTGAACAACAAGTGCTATTCAGCCAATCAAATGCTAGTGTGATTCCACAAAGTCGTACCTTTCATTTGAGCCTTAGTTCATGAGTTAGTTGGGATTATTCATTGTGCTAGCTGTACTTCCGTTATACTATTGAGTTGACTCCCTGATGAGGTTATTGGAGATTTGCTCGTGAGCAACAAGTGCTATTCAGCCAATCAGATGCTAGTGTGATCCCACACAGTTATACCTTGCATTTGAGCCTTAGTTCATGAGTTAGTTGAGAATATTCATTGTGCTAGCTGCCAATAACCTCATCAGGGAGTCAACTCAATAGTATAGCGGAAGTACAGCTAGCACAATGAATAATCCCAACTAACTCATGAACTCAGGCTCAAATGAAAGGTACAGCTGTGTGGAATTATATCTATGCCTGATTGGTTGAGTATACATTTGATTTCAAACTTAGATTAAATTTTTATTCTCCTAAGCAGATATAACCTTCTAAAAATGTAATATCATATAATTTCCCACACTTTTATGGTTTTTTAAAACAAACAATGATGCTTTAGGTCTGCATTCACATCTATGAACTGAATTTTTTAAGATCCAAACCAACACTTTCAATATAAACAACCTCTGTTAATTATATTTAATTATAATAATAGAAGAATATTGTATACCACAATGAGGAGACATGATCAAAGGTTATGCTCAGCCAAACAAATGATCAGAAGGTTAGTGCGCTTCAGAAAATGCATTGATCACCTGTCCCGGGTTAGGTGATGCTGGCGGACCCCGCCAGCACCGGCTAATAAGGATAGGCCATTTTTTTTATATATACTATATGTATTTGATCTGTTTTTGTATATACTGTATCAATTTATGTAGTAGAAAACTGGTATAGCAAGACGGAGTAACTAAAACTAAGCAGTTGTTGAGGGATTCAGTTGAACAACAATTCACTCAAAGATCAGATAGTGGTAAAGAAGAAAGAAGAGAAATTGATGGATTGATGTCAGATAATAATTTCGGACTCCGCTTCAACTGTAAATTAGCTATACAGTTCTTCCATAACACTTTCCCACGCCAGGACGTCAGTATAGATTTTGCATCTTTGAGTTAAGAACAAACTAAAGGAAGATGAGACTTCCCTTCTCATTGGTACTTTCTGATGCTGCTGGTTCACCCTCTAATCTTACATTGTATTGAATCAGTTCGATGTAATTTCGCATTCTGAACAACTCAAGCAAGTCATAAAAATCAAATCCAGAGGCATTATAAATCAATCTTGTTGCTAATTTCGCATTTTGGACACTGTAGCTTGTCCCTAAAATATGCCAATGGTATACTATCAATTGTATCCTATGTAATTTCGCATTCTGAACACTTTTTGCCACTCAAGCAAGTCATGAAAGTCAATCCCTAAGTCAGTAGCCCACTATTTGCTACTTAAGTTCGCATTTTTGCCCTTCTTGACTGCTTTAAAATGGCCCTAACTACTTCGGAGTTCTTGCATTTTATGTATTTTATCATTCTGAGCAACTTTCCTCTATATACCTAAGTAATTGGGACAGGTCCTGCCCTTGTACTCACAAAAAAAAGGCCCTCTGAGCGAATTTTGTTGTTCTTTGCCTGTGGGAATGTCCCCTAGCTCCCCTGGGTCATGTGCTTACAGAATACTTCAGAGGTTTTCTGTAAGCACATGATCTAGGGGGGCTAGGAGTCACCTTCTGGCTGTACTTCGCATTTTTGCTCAATTTAAATGGCAATATCTGCTGCTACAAATTGTGCCCCACATCGGATTTATGTTCTTTTACATTCTGAACAACTTTGTCCACTCAAGCAAGCCATGAAAATCAAATCCTGAGGCAGTACAGCTCATTCTTCCTGCTAATTTCGCATTTTGGAGACTGTAGCTTGTCCTTAAAATATGCTAGGTATATACTGTCAATTGTATCCTATGTAATTTCGCATTCTGAACACTTTTGGTCACTCAAGCAAGTCATGAAAGTCAATCCCTAAGTCAGTAGCCCACTATTTGCTACTTAAGTTCGCATTTTTGCCCTTCTTGACTGCTTTAAAATGGCCCTAACTACTTCGGAGTTCTTGCATTTTATGTATTTTATCATTCTGAGCAACTTTCCTCTATATACCTAAGTAATTGGGACAAGTCCTGCCCTTGTACTCACAAAAAAAAAGGCCCTCTGAGCGAATTTTGTTGTTCTTTGCCTGTGGGAATGTCCCCTAGCTCCCCTGGGTCATGTGCTTACAGAATACTTCAGAGGTTTTCTGTAAGCACATGATCTAGGGGGGCTAGGAGTCACCTTCTGGCTGTACTTCGCATTTTTGCTCAATTTAAATGGCAATATCTGCTGCTACAAATTGTGCCCCACATCGGATTTATGTTCTTTTACATTCTGAACAACTTTGTCCACTCAAGCAAGCCATGAAAATCAATTCCTGAGCCAGTACAGCTCAATCTTACTGCTAATTTCGCATTTTTTATACTATATTCTGTCCCAAATAAATGCTAGTGATGTTTGGTCAATTGTGCCCTATGTAATTTCGCATTCTGGACACTTTTGGCCACCCCAGCAAGTTCTCAAAATCAAATCCTGAGCTTGTACAATCAAAAAAGTCCATTTTGAGCGGATTTTCTAAGTATTTAATAGCTAATGATATAGTAGATGCATCCATCATTTACATGCTATTTAACTACCTCCTCCTTGAGCCTCCTTAGCCTTGTAGTTGGCCAACCATAGCAGTAGCTCTATGGCATTGCTGAAGTTCCCTGGTTCTTCTATCACCAACCATTCAGCAAATGCTGTCAAGTCTGCTCCTGGATTCATGTTCAGATGAGCCAGATCTTGGCATGCCTTTTCCCTCAGCTCCTGAGTGTTCCTGATATGCCATACAGCCAGTATCACAGTGTCCTTGAGTCCTCCACATGACCTGTCTCCCTTGGATAAATCCCCATGACTGCTTGGTAGCCATGATTGCCCAGTGGTCTTGCACTTGCCCTGTGGTAGATGACAATGGAAGCAATAGGAGAACTTCACTTTGTACTTCATCATACTCCTCAGATTCTGCCACCCAATAGCATTCTCATATGGACCAGGAAGCTTTTGATGTTGGTGACATGCAATGAATGGTGGCCAATGAGATGCCTTCACCATAGTGCCATTGATTGCCCAGCATGCTTTGCAGTGACCATTCAAGTACTTGCACAAGCTGTTGAGCTTATTGAACTTGTAGTTTTTAGCGTCAACTAGCTGGCGATGGTATGCTTGATCCAGTTGAATAGGAAGTGCTGGTCCAGACGACATGGACTGTATCTGAGTTTCAGAAGGGCGTGTGAGATGTAGGCGCTTGTTGAGTGGTGCTGTACTAGGCAAGGCTTCTGCAGGACGCTTTCGGGATATGGTAGAAGGAACTGAAAGACTGATAGACGCTGGGGCGACTGGTGGAGGTACAACTGCAGGCACTGGGGTGGCCCTAGCAGAAGAAGCAGTAGACGTAGTGGCGGTTGTTGATGCTGATGTATCTTCAAATAGCGATTGATCCAAGTTGGCCAACTCAAAGTCGTTGAAACTGTTGAACAAGTGGTCGTCATCTGAATCATCTCCAGATGTAGCTGGTTGAGTGGTGCTGGTGGGAACTGTAGCAGCTTGCATATTTGTAACAGTCTTCTTTGGTACCACACCCATGATCCGTTCCCATTCGCTGCGCTTGATGTCCTGGATAAGCTGGTGATAAGCACTGCTGAATGGCAAGTTGGGATTGCACAAGTTGCATAGACGTGTGTTGGAATGAATCTTGGCCAGTTCCTGACAGGTTTGAACATGTCCATCTAGCAATTTCGAAGGAACCGCCCTATGACATCCACCCCAACCCCTCACCCACTGCAATGTCTCTGTTGTGCAATCTCGATCATCAAGTCGAGAATGAGGATCAATGATATGAACAGCCCTGTCATTGATGAGAATGGCCTTAGCAGAACCACCACCACGACCACCACGACCAGCGCCTTGAATGATGTTGAGGATGTTGTATGGAACACCAACGAAGACAACAGCGACCACATTTGGATGATCAACACCATGTATCATGCCAGTCGTAGCAGTAATCCACCGGAATTCTGAACTTGTGCCATTCATCCAGTTGTGTTCATTGTCTGCTCTGACGCTGGTTTCGAGTTTTGAATGCGAGATCATGTTGTGGGTATAGCCAGCCAGTTTGTCTGCATCACTAGTCGATTGCGTAAAGACAATGCCCTTGTCGTTTGGCCCAAAGTCCTTGTCCAGAATAGCAATAACGCCACGGATGACCTCATGCATAGGCACTACGTTCCTGTCCATGGAGTACTGGTGGTATTCAATTTGAGGCTGAGGAACTGGCGAACGAAGAACAGCAGTCGAACGGCGAGCACCAACAAGGCTGAGGAACTCTGTCTCCTTTTTGATGGGAAGCGTAGCGGTGAGGTAGACCTTCTGAACTGGAAAGTCTGCGAGATGCCACAGCTGCTGGAAGTCCTTGCGCCATGAGTTTGAGGTGAAGATCTGATGTGCTTCATCTATTACAACACGTTTGATACACCTTTCGTTCTCTGCATAGGCACTGTATACTATTTAGCATGAGCTGGTAACGAATTGAGAAGTACTCACTTGGCGAATGTACCACAAATAGCAGTTTCCAGCGCCACAAATACCAATGGCGACCTGCCCATGTCCCGGTGCTTGCTAGTGTAGTGAAGTGCATTGATACCGAATGCTTGCGCCTTGACCAACTGGTCTTGAAGTAAAGCCTTGTTGGGAACGACCACGATTGTCTTGTAGCCAAGATGCTGCTCTTTGAAAACCGGTAGCAAATATGACAAGCTTTTGCCTCCACCAGTTGGAAGAATGCCCACGAAGTTGTTCTCCAAAGCTAAAGCGTGTTTGACAATATTCCGTTGACCTGGCGACTTGAATTCAGCAGTTGGATTCTTGAAGAACTTCCGAAGCAAGTCGAGTGCATATCCTGGCTCATTCACTGAGGGCCCAGTCGGTGGTAGAGGCGCAGCAGAAGAAGAAGAAGGAACAGGAGGAAGCGAGGCTGCTGGTGCAGAAAGTTCTGGTGGATCATCTCCATACAAGTCCTCAATCTCGGTGTAATCCCCTTGAGCAATCTCCTGGAGTGGCGTAACCGGATGTATGGATGTCGAAGTAGACTCATGCAAGGGGAACTGTGGCGCTGAATCTGCATAGCGAATGCCTTCTGACTGAGCAATGAACAGTGCTTTCTGAACACCCTCTGCCACCGATTTCTGCACCTTGGACTCTACAGCATCCATAACCCGAGCCATGGCAGATGAAACAGCACCCGTAACCGTATTGGCAATCTCAGCACGTATGCCTGCAAGCAAGGCAGCTGTATCGAGTGTAGGCGTAGCAGCAGTAACACCAGAAGTTGTGAAGGTAGTTGTGGTGGGAAATAACTGGTTGCGCTTCTTGACTATTAGCGGGACCATGGGTGGATACTCTGGAAAGCAGCCCATCATTCTTGCCCAAGCGTCAGAGGCGAAACCAAAGCGTAGAACCATGTCGCTGGTGAGGGACGGAAGATGGCCAGCCTCTGGTGCGTAGTGTGCACGTTCCACTCTTGTAGTGTGGCCACGAAGTTCAGCAAAAGCGTCTTCACCTTCCATGGCCAGCTGGAACTCTGAGCCCAAGTAGACGCGCCCCATCTCAACCGTAAGTTGACGGAAGTTGCGCAAGCCGCAGTCCCTAACACCAGCCTTCTGCTGCATGAACGTGGCTAGCAGTTCGCTAAACGTATCTGCAGTTATCACCTTTCCCATGTCGAGCCACAGGTACTCAGCATACAGCAGTGCAGTCTCTTCATCCCAAGCGACACGAGCCAGAATCTGTTCCAAAGGACGTATACCAAGCAAGTAGATCTCCAGCAAGTGGGTGAGTTCTGGATGGCACTTCATGGCTATGAAGGACTCTGCGCCTTGTAGATGTTCTGCTTTGGTGCGACGGGTGACGAGCCAGAGGTCTTTGAGCGAACGGAAGACAGTACGAGGTCGATTTGAGTTGCGAATCTTGTGCTCCACAAACTCTGCACCACGTGGATCAGGGCCAGCCGTAATGAAGCTGTATAGCGCCAGAGAGTGGTTGATCTCGCGCATGATCCCAAGTACCTCCAAGACAGCAGCTTGATTCCAAACAGCACCACCAGCACTGTCTTTGCGTAATAGGAAACGACCAGGCGTGTTGAGCAGCGCAGCCATTAACTGATTGGGCTTTGCGACCATGGAATCGATGTCGTCTAGCCAGGAAGAGCCTCTAGCTGTAGTTGTCCAGTCGTCACTGATGTTGTCTGGAATCGAGTACTCAAATACTTCAGTGTTGAACAGAGAGGTAATTTGAGCCTTGATATGCGCAGCGAGTCCTTCAACTGCAAGCCGTAACCGTGGAACATCCAGAACACTCTTGTGGTAGGTGATGAGTTGACCATCAGCACTGACCATAGTCGTAGGAGCCGCAGTGGTGTTGTGGACAAGAGAAGAGATGTACGACTGGTAGTTCGAAATTGTATTGAAGGCAGAGCGAACATTGGGTGCAAGATGAAGCTTGACTTGGTCTTCTACCAGTCTAATCAAGGATTTAGAAGCAGAATTTCACAGGATATGACAAGGAACTTACTCCTCAAATGCCTTTTCAGAACCATCAAGATGGCCAAGGGCGTGCATGAAGCATGTAACCCGGCAAAGGTACTTGAGGATAGCCAGTGGTTGCGTCATGTACTGAGGCGGTTTGAAAGATCCGTCATCTTGAATTGAAAGCAGCGCTATGAAGCATTCAATGAATCTACTCCATTTGCTGCTGCCATCTTCTGACTCCGTAACGTTAGCGAAGCGACTCAGCATTGGCTGTACCAGTGTATGCATGGCCACGACCTGGCTCTTCATATGGACACCATCTTTCAGTGATGCAAGGAGGGCTTGGGCATGTCTGATGTCGTCTTCAGATAGCGGGAACTGGTAGCCAGACTTGTTGCGTGTACCATCTATGGACTTGATAATTGCGTTGGCCAGCTTAGCAAGAACCGTAGAGTAGTTGCGAATGGTGGAGGAGTCTTCAAGTGGCTTGAAGTGGACGCTTTCCCTTCAATTAAAGATTAGAAATGACCAAGACAATATAAATAAAACATACATTGGATACCGTTTCAACATCTTGCGAACTTCAAAGGGTGACTTGCTGATTCTGCGCCCAGCGATTTGAAGGTACTCATTTGCCACATCACCAAGCTTAGCCAGGCGACTCCCAGACCCATGCGTAGGCACCTTAACCAAGTCCAAAAGATCCCCCACAAGACGTCGATCCTTCAGATAATCTGCTAGATGTGTATGCCAGCCAGTCATCTGAACCATGAGTGGTAGTTCATGCGGATGAATAGGCTGTAGAATGTGGGTAGTGATAGTGAGATCTGGCAGTAGTTTGGTGGTGTAGATGTCGAGCAGAGACGAATCAACTGAAGGCGGTGATGGTGGTGACGTAACTTCAAAGTAATGTCGTTGAGTAGGCGAGAAGAAAGTTTGAACACAGCCTTTTGTGTAGTTTGATCCATACTGTGAAGGTACTTCTTTATGTTTACCAATATGACGTTCAATCATTGACTCCTTCAGGCAGGCGTAGTCGCAAGTACTGCAGCAGTAGCCATCAGAGACTGCCAGACCTTCAACAGGTGGCCCTAACGTCTTTGGACGGAGTGGGACTTCCTTGTCGATGACGTGAAGCATGGCCAGAACATGGAGCAGTTGCTCTTCATCCTGACGAGAGACAGTAAAGCCATGTGAGCGAAGATGGCCTACTACTTTAGAGGGAATCCAGGCAACAAGACAACCCATGCAGTGAACCGTAGAGTAGTGGCGGTGAACTCGAAGACCATATTTCTCTAACGTAGCGGTAGTTGTCAAGTCGCTGATGGCAGGTTCAGTAGCCGTAACGTGCTGCGTAGGCAGACTTGGAAGTGGACGTGGTGTGATGTCCAGATCTGGTGAGGATGAGCGTAGTGATCCAAGACCAGGTGGGGTAGCTGGTTGGGCAACCAAAGGAGCAGGCGACGAGTGAGGACCAGGAGACGGAAGACGGAGAGGTGTCGCCTTTGGAGTAGGCGAAGAGACAGGCTGATCCTTAACAAGCACCAAGTTAGTTAACAGCAAATTGAATGAGATTGAATACAAACTGGGAGTGGCAAATCCACATCCATAAACTCAGACTCCAATTCAACTCCCTCATCTCCTTCCACAGTCTTGAAAGAGAACTTGACCACCTTATGAACACTTTTGGAGTGATGGTTGAAGTTCTTGACATTTTCATGTTGAACTTCACATAAGGGACAGCAAAGCAAATGCTGAATGCCATCCCTAATCACCAAGTACTCTCTGGTATCTAATTACAATTGATATAACTACAAGTCCATGAGGGAATCATGAGAACTGACCAAAAGAGAGGGTATATCTCTCATGGTGAATGTGCTTGACATGCTCCTTGTAGCTCTTCCTGTTCTTCCAAGTCTTCTTGCAGCTTGAGCAGAAAAGGTTTCTACAGAAAGCATGGGAGAAGCTGTAATTCTGACACTAAAAGAGTACTAAGAAAAGTTAACTACCCTTGAGAAGATGCCATTGCTTTGGTGAAAGGTTGTTGAAATGGAGAAGTGAAGAGTATGCAAAAATGGTATGCAGGTAGAGAGAATAGGAGGTTCATTTCGCATTTTTTCACATTTGGGACTCAGATTCCTAGCCCCTGGGTCATGTGCTTACAGAATACTTCAGAGGTTTTCTGTAAGCACATGATCTAGGGGGGCTAGGAGTCACCTTCTGGCTGTACTTCGCATTTTTGCTCAATTTATACAGCAATACCTGTTGCTACAAATTGCCCCCCACATCGGATTTATGTTTCTTTACATTCTGAACAACTTTGTCCACTCAAACAAGACCTGTAAATCAAATCCTGAGGCAGTACAGCTCATTCTTCCTGCTAATTTCGCATTTTGGAGACTGTAGCTTGTCCTTAAAATATGCTAGGTATATACTGTCAATTGTATCCTATGTAATTTCGCATTCTGAACACTTTTGGTCACTCAAGCAAGTCATGAAAGTCAATCCCTAAGTCAGTAGCCCACTATTTGCTACTTAAGTTCGCATTTTTGCCCTTCTTGACTGCTTTAAAATGGCCCTAACTACTTCGGAGTTCTTGCATTTTATGTATTTTATCATTCTGAGCAACTTTCCTCTATATACCTAAGTAATTGGGACAAGTCCTGCCCTTGTACTCACAAAAAAAAGGCCCTCTGAGCGAATTTTGTTGTTCTTTGCCTGTGGGAATGTCCCCTAGCTCCCCTGGGTCATGTGCTTACAGAATACTTCAGAGGTTTTCTGTAAGCACATGATCTAGGGGGGCTAGGAGTCACCTTCTGGCTGTACTTCGCATTTTTGCTCAATTTAAATGGCAATATCTGCTGCTACAAATTGTGCCCCACATCGGATTTATGTTTCTTCACATTCTGAACAACTTTGTCCACTCAAGCAAGCCATGAAAATCAAATTCTGAGGCAGTACAGCTCATTCTTCCTGCTAATTTCGCATTTTGGAGACTGTAGCTTGTCCATCAAATATGCTAGCTATATACTGTCAATTGTATCCTATGTAATTTCGCATTCTGAACACTTTTTGTCACTCAAGCAAGCCATGAAAATGAAATCCTGAGTCAGTATCTCACTATTTACAAATGAAATTCGCATTTTTTGCCTTTTAATAGTACTACATTTGTTCATCAATGAAGTCTTGACTCAAGTTGAGAGACTTCAGGAACATAAAGCATGTATCATATTGCATATATCATAAAGCATAAAACATGAGGCATAGAGCATAAAGCATAAGAACATATACAATGATGAGGAAAACATATATGTAAGTTACAATTCTACCAATAATCCAATACTATAGCCCATCTAATCCATTTCCATTTCATCTTCTTCATCATCACTAGCAGGTTGAGTGTCTTTCATTGAAGTTGGAGGCCCAGAAAGAACACCTTGACTCCAACTGTCCTGCAGTATTGCTGGCAAGTGATTGATGTTGTGCTCAAGACCAAGCTGTACATCTTCTGGCAGCTGACTAACTGCATGCAGCAACTTCAAGGCCAAGCTATACTTGATGTTGTGTTTTGGTCGAAAAGCCTTCTTGTTGAGCAATGTACTGAATTGAGAAACAGCAAGTGGAGTAACTTGGAGTTGTTTCGAAGAAGAAGCTGGCGGATTGGATTCTGGCGTATGAGATGAGATGTGACCAAGATCCACATTGCTGATAGGTTCAGCAAGATCTTCAAAGCCTGAGGGTACCGGTGACAAGGGGCTTTCACTTCTGGTGTCTTCATCAATGTCAACCACACGTTTCTTCCCCTTCGACCTCTGAAGTATTGCAGCTTTGTTAACTTGTTCAGCTAGACTGGCTGCGAAAGAAGAAGCATCATCATCTTCAACTTCAGGACTCAGAGGAGAACGGCGCCGCTTTGAGGAAGGACGCATGGGAGACAGCTCCACTCCAAGAAATTCCAAACGACGATGTGGTGGAGGTTGTTGTGGAGTTGAAGAAGAAGACGAATTACGAGGCGTATGTGATGCTGTTTGCAATGGAGGAGCTGATAGTTGAAGGTGACTTGCTGAAAGAGCCGGCGAAGGAGGTGGTGGAGTATGCGGCTCAGTATGATCTGGTGAAGTCTGCCTTTGTGTAGGAGAAGGTAATCGTGGCGTGACTGAGCGAGTGCGAGAGGGTGGCGTTGGGGACTTTGATGGAGGAGGAAGAGGAGGTGAAGGCGAAGGTGGTGGTGGTGGCGGCGAAAGCGGTGAAGGCGAAGGCGGTGGTGGCGGCGAAGGTGGTGAAGGCGAAGGAGGAGGTGGTGGCGAAGGTGATGAAGGTGAAGGTGGCGGTGGTGGTGGTGGTGAAGGTGAAGGTGGTGGTGGTAAATTTGAGGAGGTCGAAGCAGCAGGATGTGATGAGGAAGACGATGAAGCGATGGGATCCAATGGCTGAACTGTGCGTACAAACGGTGAACTAGCTATAGACAAAAACATTGCACCAGGGGGGAATCCAGGCAATATAGTGTCGGTTTGAATGCAGAGAAACTGCTTCAGAAGGGCATGCCAGGACGGAACATGAGCTAAGTTTATGAGTGCCACAGTGATCTCCCTGGTAAACAAAGTGGAAACTTCTTCGCTCTTGAGTTTTGCACCGCATATGAACTTCCTGAATGTCGTGTCCTCAGGGAAGAGTTTGTCGATCTCTGCCCATAGAACCAAGCCATGGTTCAAAAGATAAGCCACAAGCTGCCAAAGTGGTGAGTGTAGTGATTTTAAATTGAGCTAATATCATACCTTTCGTGGCCACTTATCTTGTTGAATGTTCTCCAGCTTTAAGTTGCTGTCTGGTTTACAAAAAGGCAAGGCACTTTTGAGGGCAAGCATGGGATATTGCTGTTCATCATCCAAAGGTGCAGCTTTTGCAACACTCAGGATTGATACTAGGGACTGTGGGTCACCCAGGATTACAATCAGCTAATAAGCATATTCTCAGTTACAAATAGTACCATCAAATATTATAGACTTACAAACCGCAATATCGTATTGACGATATGTATGACTTGCATGGGATGTCCTTGAGGAAGAGCCATGATACCATCACGGATTGGACGCGCAACAAAGGATCTAGGCGTCAACATCTAATATTTTGATGAGTGTGTATGCAGCAGTATATTAATCATATAGCTTACCAAACGTGAGTTCAGCATACCAAAGTCGTCATGTATGTGGTGAAACTCAAAGCCCATTTGAACGAACTCAGTATCGTCCCATGTTTCGCAAGGATAGCCGCGTAAAGTAGGCAAGTGTTCAACCCAGCTTTTGAGGAGTGTTTTATTGACGACTCCACTGAAGACTCTGTTCCACGAGACGGCATCGGATGCATACCACGCTGTACGTAACAGAGATCTCTTGTTACCCCAGTGCTGGTCTGTGTCCTCTGCGTTGCAAAGCCGCTCCAGCCGAAGTATCGCGCCAGTGGATAGAAACTCTCCATGGGCTTTGCAAGTCTCCAAGATCATAGCAACCAGCTATACGCAAGACAGATAAGTTCACAGTGCAATCTTAAAGAGAGCCCTTACCTCAGGATTGCGACTTGCACCTAACTCTTTCATCATAATGTCGAACTTGCTAGATTGTGCGAAGTCGGGGCAGGTGATGAGCAGATCTCGTAATGGGCGTAAGGCGGCAGGCATGCGTAAAATGAAGTTGAGATAACCGCGGTTGGGGAATGACCGAATTGTTTTTGCAGCGATAGTATTCCTGTTCCCATGGCTGTAGCAAGCCATGAGAACATTAATAACCGAGGGAAGAAGAACATCGTCTGAGTTCTCCAGCGCTGTTTGCCTCTCGTTGATCTGCGCCATGTAGAGCTCCATAGTCCGGGGCTTGGATAAATCAAGCAGCTCTGAGTAAAGAGTGAGTTATTGCAACTGAAAATAGAAGATTCAACATACCGCGACGGTAAACCAAACATTTCCAGTGCTTCAGCCAGAGGTTACTGGCGCAAATCGCAGCAAGACGATGCTGACCAGCAATGACCAGGAACTCAACAGGCTTGCCATCGACAATAGGATGACTCCATATGCCAGGCCCGGTAACGATTGGGCAAGGGCCCTGAGCGATGACGAGTAGAGGGCTGTTCTGATGATACGGACCCAACAGGCCACTCTCAATGTCGTTGACGAATTGCTGAACATGGCCGGGAATCAGAGGTCGTTGATCTAGCAAAAATGTATCAGTTTGGTCTTCAAAATGGGAAAAGAATGTACCTGGGTGAGGCTGAGCATAATTCAAATCAAGAATAAAATGCCCAAGTTCAAACTCTGACAGTAAACTACTGAGCTCGCTAGGGCTTTCTGCACTAACAACATCAGACTCTACTTGAATTTTTACAGGAGGAGGAAGTTGTAAAGCATCAGAAGATAATAAAGAAGGAAATTTATCAAGAACTTGAGCAAAAGGAAGTAAAGAGGCCATTTTTTTTATATATACTATATGTATTTGATCTGTTTTTGTATATACTGTATCAATTTATGTAGTAGAAAACTGGTATAGCAAGACGGAGTAACTAAAACTAAGCAGTTGTTGAGGGATTCAGTTGAACAACAATTCACTCAAAGATCAGATAGTGGTAAAGAAGAAAGAAGAGAAATTGATGGATTGATGTCAGATAATAATTTCGGACTCCGCTTCAACTGTAAATTAGCTATACAGTTCTTCCATAACACTTTCCCACGCCAGGACGTCAGTATAGATTTTGCATCTTTGAGTTAAGAACAAACTAAAGGAAGATGAGACTTCCCTTCTCATTGGTACTTTCTGATGCTGCTGGTTCACCCTCTAATCTTACATTGTATTGAATCAGTTCGATGTAATTTCGCATTCTGAACAACTCAAGCAAGTCATAAAAATCAAATCCAGAGGCATTATAAATCAATCTTGTTGCTAATTTCGCATTTTGGACACTGTAGCTTGTCCCTAAAATATGCCAATGGTATACTATCAATTGTATCCTATGTAATTTCGCATTCTGAACACTTTTTGC